CAGCAAATCCTGTCAACCCCCATACTTTCATTTCCTTCATCATCCAAAAAAAAAAACAACCAACCAACCCACCCCAAAAAAACAAACCCAGAACTTTTACAGCGTTTCCTTCCTGATGCTTTCCTCGCTGCATTAGCTCACAGAGACGGCATGTTTTGGAAGCGCAGAGGAATACATCGGTGCCAAGCGTCATTGTTTATTCCCATATTATGGATTTTGACACCTGTTTGCAGTCACGCTCGCAAGTCTGGCCTCCCCGGCCCCAGGTCAGCACACCACACTGCTTGTGACCATCTTCTCCTGTTGTACATTCCTATACGAAGCATTTCCAGGATGACTTTCACCAAATAAACTGGCACATCTCATCCTGGCAACTGCTGACCGATATTTGTGTTCAGCTGTCAACTCAGGACAGCCCAGAGCAGCCAGGGGCAGACGGGGCACGTGGGTCTGACCCGCTGGAACGAGGACCACAGCCAGGAAACCAGCAGGTACCAGAAAGGTGACACCACTGGGACTTCTCAGAGCTGGAAACAGCATAGAAGCGTTGCTATTTGAGAAGATCATTAAGTGTGGTAGGAGAGAGGATCATCCCCACCGCAGCCAGGGCACAGCGGAGGTGGCTGTGAAGCTGTGGCACTGCTTTGGGAACACGGCTGCAAACCTGACACACGCGCTGCTGGAAGAGGCACAGAGCAGCCCGCACAGGGCCGCAGAGATGGGTAAGTGTCCACAGGGGACTCTCAACCCATGGGCTTGCTCCCGTCTCCCGGTAGGGACCCACTGCCCAGCCCGGCATCTCCGATCTGCGCTCCTCCAGCAGCCTCCACCACTGCTCCACAAGCGCCAGCTTCCACTTCCCTGCTTCTTCTCTGCAAGCACCAGAGAAGCCGTCCGGGATATATTCTCCTTTCCCTTTACCATCCCAAAGGCAAGGAGGTTGGTAGCTCAGAGAACCCACCGAACCACTGTAAGCTGATACTTTCCGAAATTCCTGAAGTTCTCTCGCGCTTTACTCCGGGGCACTTGGTTTGCTTACGGATCCCTTGTCCCGCCGAACCTGAGCAGGACACGTGGAAGGATCTGGTTTCGGGAACATCAGTAATTATAGAACAGGGCTGACGAGGGAGGAGCTCACGGGAACGGCAACACCACTTCCCAAGGCAACCAGTGGGCACAGGGTGTTACAGCCTCAGAGCAGCATTTAAATGGAAAACCAGGAAAGCGGTAAGTGGAACAAGCTGTCACTGCAGACGCCAGGCTTGGAGCACTGCCTTGGTGGGAGCACCAGGGGCAGCGAGTAAGGCCGATTTCGGCAGCGCTGCGCACACCAGGACCCGTCTTCGTTTTTTTTCCCCTCAAAGCCCCAGTGTCACTGCGACACCAGCAAAGTGTCACCCCTGCCTTGGACGGAGCAATCAGCTCCCCAGAAAAGCGATGGGGGGGTAGAAAAGTAGCAGCAGAGCAACGTATCGCTCTGGATCGTACATACATGTGCATCCTGCCGTCTGGAGCCAAACACCCAGCAGGCCAGTAAGTTTTACTGCTAGGCTGCCAGTTCTCCCAGATCCAGGAAAATGCCCACAAAAATAGCAGCAAATCTTCTCCTCTTTGCAGCTACTGAGATTCTAGATCCCATGGGCTAACTAGGAAAAAAAAAAAAAAAATAAAATCCACCAGCCTGTAAGTTTTGTTATGCTTACACTTGGACTCCCAGAAAAGTGCTACCGCTTTTGTAGACCTTAGCAAAATATCCTGGGCACCAGCCATGCCGCTCTGATCCCAGGACGCAGCTGACAGTGAGCGATTATGCTCAGGCACAAGTTCAGATGATTCAGCAGGGCCTGGGAATGTACGCGCCGAAACGGTTAGAACAAATCACCATGTTCGCTGCATCTCTATTTCAACCACAGAACAGGAAAAATGAAGGACTCTGAGTATGACTGTATCCGTCTCCGTACGGAAAACTCCAGAGAGCATTAGAACAACTTCATTAGAACAACTTTGTTACACAACGTAGTTCAACACCCTCTTAGGGAACTGGAGGGGAACGATGTTTCCTTACTATTTTTGGCCAGACTCACGCAGCAAGAGCCGACTGGAGGAACAGAGGTTTCCCTGCATTTTCAGCAGCGATACGAGCAGCGATCACGCCAGCGCGATCCTGCCAAGACTCCTCTGCCAATTAGAGGATCGCAGTGTGTGCTCTGACCATTTGGATTCCGCCTCAGCCCCCAGAAAACAAAATGCTCGAGCAAAGCATTTAGTACCTTTCATAACATCCTCACGTCTTCGGCACCGTCTCGGTAGTACGGAGAGAGCAGCAGAGGTTCACAGCGAGCCAACGACGACCGCTTCCCAACACAGCCAACTGCTGGGAGACCAGTGGGCTCCACCAGCTCCAGCCCCAAGCTCACTCTCACCAACAATCCTCTTTCAAAGATTCCTGTGTCCCACAACATAACACCTGCCCCACGGACATGAGAACCCATGGATTTTTTTCAGAGATGTGGGTCTCTGAGCATCAGCCCTCCTGGGGTTAACAGCTTTCAAGGTCCGACAGCTCTAGCAGAATCCGTATAACCCACTGAAAGGTGAAAAGCAGATTTGGGCCTTTTCAGAAATATTCCAGATTTGCATTAAGATGAAATCAAGAGACTGCAGCGAACACTGCTTATTTTGAAGCCATCTCACCCATCCTCTTTTCAGCCTGACAAGCCTTTCCTAATGAGACATTCGTTAGGCAGCAGTATGGTTCATAGTACAGTTTGTCTTAACAGACCATCACAGAAATGCTTCCCTATCAGCTCAGGTAGGAAAGCTCATCTGCCCTTCTTTCACACCACCAGAACTGTACCCTGTCTCCATCCCACATCCCTATTACAGGGCTGAACGTGCATGTTCTGGCTTTTGCTATTCCAAGTCCCAGCTCCCAGACCAGGGCAAACCAGAAAATGCAGCGTGAGGGCAACGATTCTGGTTAGCGCAGACACGATCTGGCTGTCACTGCCTGCAAGCCTCAGATGTGCTCTGGCTTGACCCAGCACCACAAGAAACGTTCATGTTTCTGGCTTGTGCTTTCATCCTGTCACCTCTTTCCCGGTCAGGATTCCCCTACAAACCACAACCTCCGCAAAACCCACACTTTTGAGCAGAACCTGTCCATGGGGATCCCCAGGGAATCACTCCGACACACACACGCGTACGTCGGAGCCCTTTGTGAAGCCAGTCTGAAAGACCTGACCCAAGTGATCTCAGACGTTCACAAGCTCTTGGCTAAGCCTTGGAGGACACAGACATTTTCCAGACGGTATGATCATAGCAGAGAATATTAAGAGCATTTCAAGAAGTCATCCTGAAACTATGATACAACTCGAGTCAGTTCTGTTCTGAACCCTTCTTGCAACCAAGCAGGGCTCCAGTGAACGTCATCCCAAAATATTTATTTTGGGGAAGATGCATTTCATAATCTCCTTGACCAAAAGGCTTCATATTGGCATTCGTCGTTCCACTCTAAACCCTGCTTTGGGAAAGCAGTTTCCTAGGCATTCTGCCAATGCAAGCGCATTTCAGAGTATAAAATAAATATTAAAAAAAAATTAGTTCTTCAGAAAAATTTTATTTGTACTCACTATGGAAATCACTTCTGCTTGTCTAGACTTTCTCAGAGTCTCCAAAATTATTGCAGCAGTGATAAGCAGTGGATCTCTGAATAGTGACATTTCTGGAAGAGCAGAGATTGCTCTGCAGCACCTGATGAGAAAGCAGCTACAGAGCCTGACAAATCTGTGGGTATCAGCAAGGGCAGTTGTTCCGGCTATAAAACAAGGGAGCCAATACAAATCACAAAATAAACCAACATCTCTAAAATTTCATAGTCGAGGCAAGCCAGGCTGGGTTCCGTCAGCAAATAATCTTTCAGGCATAAGCACTGTAATGTCATCTCCCCCAATTAAAAAAATCATTTGCATGTCAGGTCCTGCTGCACGAAGGAGCCCAAGAGTCTCTTGTCGTGCTAATTCCTCAGTCTCGAAGAACATTTGCAGATTTCCAGTTCATAATTCAATAGCCACAGACGAAATATTCCCCGAAAGGCAACAAGACGTACTGTACAAAAATACATATTTGTCAACAGGCAACACGCTAGAGAGACGGAGACCATTAACATCAGTAAGCAATTCTGTACA